AGCAAACTAAACCGAGAAACAATTTGAAGTTAATTGACCTCCAAATGATAAGCGTTCGTGTAATACGAAGTAACCCTTTAAATATCGCGAGCTTGAAAAATGCTTGAGCTCTAGAGATCGGGTCCATGGTATACGCGCTTACATTTCATAATGTGTTCGGTACCCAAAGACAAGTAAACTACTATAACCTGTTTATATAACTATTGTAAATGTCTTAAACTGCAGATGTACGTAGTGTTCAATCGTAGCGTTAGGTTTCAAAAAGTCTCTATTCGTCAAAGTCATACATTTATATGTAGCACCGAATTTCGGTGGCACTTTTTTTTGTATCTATACAGCTAAGCGCATGAGTACAGCGTGCATCAGCTATCATCGAGTGAACTGGTAACTTTGAGTGGATGCTAACGATTGTTATATGCTGGCATTTTGCGCGTTGAACAGCTACAGAGGGCTTTCGCATGCATTATCGTGCTATATCTGTATAGGTTAATTATAATGCTATCTACAATGCTTCAACTTCCAACATGAGTTTAGCTGGATGATTTTCAATGCTACTGCAGTAGACGTGAAGAATTGTGTGTACATCATAAACCGCTCCTTTTTGAGTGGGCCGCTACCGATGACACTCGAAACTGCACTCTTATGCCTGATCTAGGTTTCTATTATTCATTTTTCTGATTTGATGCTGTGCAGATACTTCGTGCTATTGTGCCCTATGAAAATGAGGTCTTGGTGCTGCACAGATGCTGGCCAAACTCTTAGTTCGTGTTTTAGTTTGTATACGTTATTACTATACCGCGAAACTCAATATTTTACTTCTAATTGCTTAATCATGCCAAATAACTGGATTCAAAATGACGAGGTAAGGAACAATCGGCAAACGAACATTGACCGACTACCCATCTCCAGCACTTAGCATTGTAAGTACCGTCGACCCTATAAGATTGACGTCAAGACAGCCCTTTCGCTGTGTACTGAGCCACAGGCGAGGAATAAGTGCGATCCGATGCACATAGAAGACAAGTGCATTGATTTAACTATAATAAAATGATCCTGAAAGGCCGTATAGTTTAGTATTTTATATTTATACTTAAAATCGAATTAAAAATTAATTTATACTTAAATCGAAAATGTAACTAGTCTCAATGCTGCCACTTATTTAATTACCGTTCACGTATTATTTATTATATGATACATCGGCACTATATTTTAGAACCAACATGTGTAAAAGCTTAGAAAAATGTTGCAAACGGCTAAACACTTATATTTTATTACTCTGTGTCGGTCCGTCATGTAACAGCAAAAGCTGATACCCATCTTGATACGTGTCGTTCTGTTAACTCACGTCGTTCACGGTAGTAAAAAGCTACCAAGCATCAAAGTCAAAAAGTGATCATTTCACAATTCACACCATCGTGTAAATGACAAAAAATAAGTCTAATTAACGCTGCTAGTAGATAAGTAAAATAGATCTCTAGTGGGCACCTACGAGTTTTCCCTAAGTGAAGAGACGATGTGATATTTAGAAGGTGTCTCAGTTGCGGGACTCCCATATATTAGACCGTCCCGAACCTGAACGATTAGACCTACTGCGTAAAATGTCAGCACTCGATGCCATAGTTTTCTCTGTCGGTTGTCGAACGTGCTATTCGCGGCGCGGTAACACGCCCTGACCTTAGCGGGGATACAATGAACGAATTTTCATCATCCAGTTTATAATACTGTAATATGTTAAAAACTTCTCTATTAATACGATAAAGCGTATGCTCTTAGTTATCAGAAAGTGACTCTTAAAAGTAATCGTTTGTTTTTTGATAATGCCTGGTACACAACTTCGATTGCGCAGTGAACGTCCATAGTATTGCTACGCTATCTCTGCGAACGTTCGCGCCGTTATCACTCGTTTGATTTTTCCTATACTACTATGGTGTTGCAGCTATATATAATTACAACTGAGAATAAACACAAAAGAACTTGTTATTACATTATCCAATAATTTTAGGTTTATGTATGTACACTTGTTAGATTTTTGTCTTTGTACCGGAAATTATGTTTTTGTTCCCGTGTTTAAGCGATACTATTACGTATCGCGTCATGCTAGCCAACAAATACCCTAAGTTTGCAGCTGTCTAAAACATGTAAACATTTCAATAGTGTCTTGTTCTGTTAAACTATCATTTCTTAGGGGATCTCCTACCCTCAACCCCGCTTCCATCGGCTGCAGTCGTTGCTATTACGAAAGTTGTCGCCTTCTAGAAGCCCTTTAACAGAAAGGGTTTCACAGAAATTCAGCCAACGCTTTTCTTTAAGGTACCTTGTTTTTCTTTTTATTTGAAGAGGCATTAGTGGAAAACTTAAGTAGACGAAAAACGCAGCGCTTTAGACACGATGTCTGTACTTCGATTCCAGTCAAACCGAAATACAAGATGACTGAAGAACATGGACCGCCTGCATTCAACGACCTATGCCAACGAACGGCGTGCAACATGATAAATAAATGAAATCGTTCGAAAGACATCCGCGTGTGCCATAAAAATTTATTTCTGCCCGAAGAAAAGCTACATAAGCAAGTTGACTGAACACCGACTAAAATTGTGCACGGATGAATTACGCTGAAAACATGATTTAAACCTATGATTAAATGTTGCTATTAGCTATTTGGTCAAATCATCGTTTTTGTATCAGACTCGTCGAGTCAGGTACGAAACCTTGGAATCTCTGTTCCAATGTTCTGATTATATTCTCTGTAGTATAGGCCAAAGGGTTGAATTTGAATATTACACGGTCGAACTTTTAGGGCAGATACAGCGTGGACATCCAGTTGAAAAGGGAAAGCAGATTAATCTTGAATCGCTTTGCATATAGTATATCCTCAGCAAGGCAAAGCACTACCAGTATCTGGGTCAAAATAGTTTTCAGAACTTTTCAAAAAGTTTCCAACTTTCTTAAAACGTAGTCACGACGAGACCAACAGCCTCAGTGGCCAGTTGCAAACTTCCTCTTTGTGACATGTCCGTAACTTCAATATGCCTCTATGCAGAGATATCCTTGTAGCAGACTGCACTTTTTGAACTACAGATATTCGCACCAGGTTCTACGTTGCACGGAACCGTTGGAATTTTATGCAGTGAACTCACATGGATTAACTTGGGAAACTGTGTTCTCGTCGCAGCGCAGTACAGGGTATTATTTTGCAATCAACTAGCATTCAGGTTGATATACTGAGATGCAATCTGAAGACCGCATGTATTTTTTCGTTATCTCCGCTTCATCTAAAAATTCATAGAGTAGAAAATTCGTGGGCTTAGGGAAGTCTATGTTCCATGTTTTACGTCCGGAATCGCCGTTAGGATATTTGTCAGACGGCACTCTGGCTAGCTGGCTCCAAGCAAGAAACGAAGTCTGTCTATACTCGGGTTCGAACTCAGGTCACAACGTGTTTCTAAGATGATGGAATGCTTGACGGTGATACCGGACGTAAAACTTGAAACGTATAGAGTTAAGTTTCGTTAAATATGAAGTAACCGTACTTTGATTATTTCGTTAGTGTGTACCCCAAATTTATCGTAAAGAGTCACTAACCGTTAATATAAAATACCACGCAAGATGGCGCTTACATTTACGTTCGATGGCTTATGGCTCGACATAATTGTCAGAAATATACAGGGTATTGTAAAAAAAAATAAAAACCAAATTCGCTGATATTTGTCACGGGCTTCCGAATAATAGGAAATTCAATTCTAAAATGTTTAAGCAATGTAGAAAAAATCGAAAATTACTTGTTGACAATAGAGCCGTTTCTTAGTAAAGATACCCCAAAACTGCGAATAGCTTTGTCATGGCATATGTAGGATGCTGATCGTAGAGTAAACCTTGCCCTTATTCAAAGCGTTTGTGAGGTGTGACCCGGTGTCCCTTGAACATTAAACTTTATCGGCGGTGGAAAACCGACAGATGCTACAAATGTAAATTACGAGACGTAACAAAAAAAAAAACATTATTCCGCCGTTGACATACGTAACCAGATTAAAATAAGGTGTCCCGCAATGATTGAGTGAGCTCTAAAACTATGTAAAACAATTTATTAAAAGAAGCTTTTCTCTATTCGATCAAGAACTAATAAATGCAGGAAAAATTAAAAAAAAAAAAAAAAGTGCACAAAAATCATAATTCGAATGAACTGAATAAAGTGAAAACACAAGTTAACCATAACTAACGTCGAATAAAATTGTATGTGTGTGTGTGTGTGTGTGTGTGTGTGTGTGTGTGTAAAAATACTGTATAACAAATGTTTGTTAACCACTCCCTATAATCTAGCGTATTTAGAGAGGCAAAATGTTGCTTAGTTAAAACTGAACATGAGGCAAGCCAATCGGATCGCTTTCTTGATACGCCATGACGAAATGACATAAGGTAAACACTAGCGACAATCACCGAACAGTTATGTATGGCTATAATTTTATATAGAAATAAGAAGAGGATGGTCCTTTAGATAAAACGCAGGTAGAAACGATTAACATAGCGTAACTGTCTTTTCCACGACACGCACCCGAAGATCACAATTCCTATTTAGCTGTACAACCAAACAAACATAAATCTTAAAAATCGACACAATATACGTTCGATATACGTACAAATTTTCATATCACCAAAGGATAATTTACGCTTGATGCATTTTTGCTTGAATTAAAGGACCTTGGACTGGAATAAGAGACAGCACTTAACTCCATCTGTCGTTTGCTCGAACTGGCGTGACAGTAAATGGCCCGTTATTAATTTCAACTTGTCCAGTATCCACGCGTTCCGGCCTCGACGTTACAATTCGAATCGTTAGACGTATTTGCATCTCTCGCTACGATCACGGCGGGAAGCTATGAGAAAGGGTGCCTAACCCTTTGCCGGAAAGCCGCTCTCTGTTTTCATGGCCGTTGTTGTACAAATGAGAGTAAATCGTTAAAGGTGAACTTCATGTACTGTTGTTTCGTTCCATACTGCGACTATTGAGCATCGCCAGCAGCTTTCCAAAGTCGAAAAATATTACATCTGTTAGAATGTCAACAGGCGTCCTCCTAGCGGGTCTGTGCGTGTGGCAAGATTACACAATAAACTCCCGTATACCTCAAACAGCCGTCCTTATCGGAATCAACATCTACGATAGCGGCGATCGTACACAAGCACGCGGCGTGGATTTTGCTTATGCTGTACGCGTACAAGAAGGGAACCAGATGGCCTTATATAGGACATACCAGAATCGCAAAGCAACGATTGGTTTTATATGGGACGAACCCCTCAAACGGCTAACGTATCGACACTACCATGGGTCGTCGAATAAGGCTGGTCAGATACTTACCTGTGACAAAAGGTTAGTACATATGTGTGCCGATCAATTACCTTTCGCTTCAATTTGGCGCAATAATAAATGTTGCTTAGTGGGATCTGTGGCCGCGTCATAGACCGCGAAGCATTTTCGCTTCGCGACTAATACTGTCTTCATGTATATTGGGTCCATTGATTAGGGTTAGCTGGGCCAGTTTTTCCACACGTAAAAGGCGAATATATGAACGATTGGTACATCGTACCATTTGAGAGTTTCGCACACGTGAACGTCATAATCTTCTATTAGAAGGCAAGTAATTAATTTTTGAATCGGAAAGTTACGTGATTATAACCATTGCAGGTTTGCTTCAGAAATGCGTTGGGTAACGTACAACGAAGAAACAACAAATACGACACTTTGTGTTGAAGTTGGATTGAGTGAGTCGTCAGGTGAACGAATTCTCTTAGCACGAGCGGTAGTCGCTTGTCGAGAGTGCGTCGACCGAGGACGTATGCCAGCGATATTCATGTTAGACCTTGGATTTGCCATCACACATTTCGGCGATTTCATCATTCTCACTGACTTCGAACTGTTATGCCGACAGCCTTGAGTAAGCATCCGTTCAAAACATTACACAAATCCAAAAACGCAGGAACGCCAAGGAACACTTGTAAAGATGAAAGTCATATACAAATGATCGATCGGCTAATAATTATAATGATCAAATTTGTGACGAAGACGTTACCAACTTATTAACGTGAATGACAAAATAGCCTTATAATGCGGAGCATAACTAATTTACTATTTTCATTTTCAGGAGTTTTTCAAGAGTATACAACTGACTGGGATATCTATTCCCATTGTTGCTTACTTCCAAATGTTGAAATTGCGCGAAACGGATAGAGTGAGTAAATCGATAAAAATCGTGCGCTCGTACTTAACAGCCTTATGAATTGTCCCTCTTGGAAGAGCCATCGGAGTGCGCTGCGAATAGTTTTTTTTTTTTTTTTTTTTCTATGACTTTATAAGACATACATTTTATTAATATAGGCGTCATAATAGCATATACCACGCACAAGTTCCTACTATTATTATTATAATTATGTATCATTGCCATGGTATTCGATTTATGTCTGAAGAATGCAACTAGCAAATGTCTTTTGTTATTGTTAAACAAAAATAAATATGGTCTAATATTGACGGAAGTATCTTATCATTTGCATTGCATTTTATAATAAAATAAGAATAATCGTGCTACAAGGATTATACCTATACAGGATATTACCTTTAATAAAATAACCGAACAGAGATAAACTTCAGGATGCAATTTACTGAACTGGGAGCAAAGAAATAGAGGAAACCATTTAGTACTAAGGCAGTATTAAATTTATACGACCTGCTCCTACTGCCCCGAGGTTATTATAGGGAAGACAAAAAATATTAATATTGTCACTATCACGTATTACGTCATAGACCCCTTTTATTTTACATCGGCGTTCCAAGCCCACAACGTTTTATTAGATACACACTGGAAAGATTATATCTCTGAAAAACTGCTTTATAGAGGCCGTAGTCGTCTCTCTATAATGAAGTATATTCATGTTGGTTTTATTTCAAAAATGATATTTCGGAATGGGAAACGATACGTTTCAGAACAATGTAACTTGGCATAAAATCGACATTTAGAAGCATTTTGCTATCAGATGATAGGTCATCATGACAGAATCAAAAGACAAGAGGCACGTGTCTGAAATTCCGCTTCCAACATTACGCGATAATGCTGATCATCATCTAAGTATTTTACAGCATTATCACTTTACGGCTAACGACGTAAAAGGCGTTATGCCCACAAGCAAATCTAAGCTTTGTAAACATTGATTTTTGTTTCTTCTTCATTTTAAGATGTGTGAATTGGGTTATTTATTGGATCATGTGTGTACCTTTTTATGTTAGGTTATGTTAGGTTTATGTTAGGATTTATGTTAGGTTAGTAAATTAACTTGATCTGTCGTAGTCGGAAAAAATTTTCGCTGGTTCACAACTAACATAATTGCAAATTATTTCTTCTTTTAGGTAAAAATCTATAAAATAGATAAAAGAAGATATCTATCTAGATAAAAGAAGAAAAGCGCTAATATCACACATGAAGTTTATTACTGAACTTTAACGAATCTCGATATATTGCAAAATGCTTATTTGCAAACCATTTCTTTCACCATGTTTGTATCATGCCTTGGATATGTAATTGCGCACTTGTACGGGTTTTATTTCGACACTAAAGTATAACGATTTTGGCCATTGGCGTAAAGTTGGCTGAGCTCTCATAGTTAGATGACAATTACAGCCCGGACTTCGCTGATGTCCTTTACAATATTCTGAAAAAATAACGAGTCGTTTGTACCAAATTTATATTATTCAGTCCTCCCGTTTAAAGTTCTCTTCTTCGAAGCAATACCAGCCTGATGCAACAAAACTTATCCTATCGTTTTCTCCCAGTCCTCAAAACATTTTTCAAATTCGATCCTCGATTTTTCTTCTGTTCTTCTACCGTATCGAAACGTTTCTCTTTCGAACTTTACTTTTTTTTTTGGTAAAGACAAAAGCCACCGGGCTAGAGCCGATAAATATGGGGGGGGGACACACCCCTCGAGTTTTTGTGAAAAAAATTGCTATACGAGGCGAGAAGTGTAAGTCGGTGCATTGTCGTGGTAGAAAACCTAGGGCTTGAGTTTCAGTCTCTCGTGTTGAACAGGTTTGCGTGGTCTTAATAGTAAACCTTAATTACTATGGAACCGCACAGCATAAGCTTACGATGAATGATTCGTCAGTGGTCACAATAAGGACAACAGTGAAACCACCTTGGTTGTAGGCCTGAATCGTGCGCCGTTCTTCAGAATTCAACCAACATTGTGATAGATGAGGCATGGTTCGATATTTATCACCAGCTGGCCGGGGTCCAGGCGAAAAGTGGTGTCGCCTTGAAAGGAAATCGAATTTGACAGTCAATGTCCAATAGGTTCGAACCTAAAATGACGGTAGAGTTTCCGATGTACATCAGGGGCACTGACTATTATTAGATACTAGCCAAAAATCAAACAATGAAGGCAACCAGCTATCTCCAGTTCTCTAATAAACTCATGGGTCGAAAGCATGCAGTCTAGTTACTTAATGACAACGCTAGACCTCGCCGCTATACTTTAATTACTTCTTAGATTAACCAAGGAAATTTCCAACTTTGGGTGCAACCCGCTTATTCTTCCGGTCTAAGTCCGTGCGATTACAGAGCTTCCTAAGGGCAACTAGCATATCCTACCATCTATTTACTTTGAGAAAAACAATAGGTAGCGAACTTACATATGGGGCGCAAATCGAAACTATCACTGACATACATTGAACAATCATCATTCTAACCTAACTAGTTTAAAAGATATTAAACTTCAAGTTCCGCCTTATTCGCTTATAACAGCATAGTTGTAATGATAAAAACAATAGTCTTTTAGTGATAAAAATTTGCATAATTATTCATACTCGTTCTTCAGTTATTGTTTCAGTATCACAATGATGAATATACGCTATTGAACAGCAAGTATAGGATTGTCATTGTTAATCCCGTTTTGTTGTTAAAACTATAATTAGAGAGAGCTTCCCCACGATACTAGCATTTGGACGCGAAAAATTTAGCAAAAATTCGAATTTTGTTTGCCGTATAACCATACTATACCGTACACAGTATCCTGCCGTTTTAACCGCTTTCTTCAGACATACTTGGTAAGCTTAAAGGCGTCTTGGCCTTAAACCATGAACGATTTTAGTACAAACGGTTGAAACTATAGCTGCGCATGAGGTATTCGCACGTTTGACACTTCGGCATTTCAAGTTGGTGCATGATATTAATCTTTCCCTAAACTGTTCACGTGCGTTATCTCAGAGCGCTTTAGCCGGCCAAAAAAGGCCGCCCTGTCGGTTTCTATCAATGATTATGCCTAATAAACCATAGGACACTGCACCCCGAAACAGCGTTGCCTCACGTACATCTAGTTGTACCATGTTTACTCTGTAGAAAACGACCTTGTGCAACAAGAAGCTCTATTCAAGCTCAACGAAGCTCAAAACAAGAATTAAGAATTTCAAGAAAGTCGTCGTGATAATCTTAACTGACGATGGAATCGCGTGAGAAATAGCTAGCAGCACGCTCATAAGAAGAACAGCGCCATATTGAAATAAAAACTATTATATTTGGATTAGTTATTTTTACGTGGCAATCCGGATAATGCCTTGTACGTTGACAGATAGAATTTGCAATAGAAACACGCATATGTGAGCCAATTTGTGATCAAACGCAAATTGAGGATATGGAGATAAATGTAAGCCTCTGGTACATATACGTGTATCGAGGGGATCGCTTCTTCTCTAAATAATTACTATTTACAGATAATATTAATCGACACATGCACATAGTTTTACATATGTATTATATGTGAAATAAGTCAACGATTATTTCACTACAGACATGAGCGTACGTATTCTTCTATTCAATATGAAAGCTAGTTTAACTTACAGTTAGTAATTAATAGCAATATTCTCAGACAGGCAATCTACGCAGAAATTATAATTCGTCAAAGAACGTGATTCACAGGTTCATAATGGCTTAAGTTCAGACAATAACAAAACGAAAGCTATTTTCATAACAGATATATCTTTCATATTTTATTATCAAAAATAGTTATTATTTTAGTTTATATTTAGTTTTTGGGCCCGATCACGGAGATAAATGGCATATGTTTTATTTGGCAGACTCGAAGGGATCGCAATATTGACGCGCTATCTGATAAAGCCGATTTCTCTACGATATACCGTCTTCGGAATATATTCTATTTGCGAAATGGAACAGTCAGTAAGTCTCACACTTTGGTAATACGTTCTATATATTATGGCAAACATTAGTTGTCGTCTATAAGATATGACAGTAATAGGGTACTGCGGAGCATGTTGTGTCACTTTTACATACGTCAGATTATACCATCTAGGCACAGTAAAATTTAAATCGATTTTCATCTCTCTTATAGCGCAGTATTACACAGATCACCTTCTTCCTATTCCAATACCCACTGTAGCTTACAGGATCAGCAGATAAGACGTTTAGACGACTATTAATATTTTTTGCTTCCTCGGTCTTGAAATAGCTGAGTGTTCTTATTATTGTTTCTCATAGTCTGTAGTACAATATCTGGAGGTGCATGTCCCTTAACCGTCCTAACAAGTTGATCTACTTCACAGTATGTAAACTGTTTAATCACACAATATAACAAAAGGACGTTAAGTTCGTGTCAGCTATGCTTAATCACAGTCGATTCCTCACGCGACGACCCCGCGATGCAGTTGGCCCGTCCTGAAGGGCACCACTACCGATTTCGCTGATTGTGAGTCCCGAAGACGAACCCTCAGTGGAGCCATCTAAGTTTGATTCGGACTTGTCCTGACGCTGATTTCGGTTCTTCCTGCGGCGTCCACGGCGACGCTTCGGATGCACTTGATCGGGACGTTGGGTGGATGTCTCTGGCGTGAGAACCGATAATGGTGGGGGCGGACCTTCCAGGCTCTGCGGGGGTGATGGTAGAGGTCCTATGTTTAATCCCGCAAGTGTCGACGGCATTGATAATGGTGGAGGCAAAGTAGTCGTTGAAAGGGCAGCGGTTGTGATATCGGCGGCGTCAGGAAGAGGAGACAAAGTTGTCGGTCTTCTTCGGTTTTTAGACCGACGCTTGTTCTGTCAATGAATTAATCTGTTATTGGCATCTAATAACAAACTACTGCTAACTGTCATCGACTCTTGTGAAGAATAAGCTCTTTTTCAAGATGGAATCTATTGAACAAGGCTTGATCTACATCGGCATATCGATAAATACATTATCCTATGTATTGTTTCAGCAATACAAACTGTTTGTATTTTGATGGGTTTCTAAGAAAATATTGTTCGTGATATACAGAGTAATTGTGACATATTGTCGTAAGGCAGTCTTAGGCAAATTAAAAGAAGAAAAAGCAACAAAAGAAAAAATATAAAATTGTGTTTATTTTTTTCTTTTGAACTTAATCGAAAAAGCTAATAAGGTAGTGTAATTTTAGCGGGATCCAAAAAAATGACTAGAGCAGGGCACTGGCGCACCTTAACTTGGCATAGGTTGAAAAATTGTCGTTCTTTGTGAACAAACTTGTTATATGAGGGATTGCCCCGTATCAGAAGAACGCTGTGTACACACCCGCACGAAATCCGTTGAACTCGAAGTCAAACATAGTCGAGGTGTGAATGATGCTCTCTGAGTTACGTGTGAACTTTGAGAATGAGTCCCATGATAATGTATTCAGAGCAACTGTATTGCTAACGTATATCGGCTTTGATACTAAATTGTCATTTTATTGAAGAAGAGTAAATTGGGTATACCTTACCTTTGGTCTATTGGGTACGTCTTGATTGGGTTTTACTTCAGAGGATACCAAGGCACTCAACGGTGGCTCTTCGTGTGTGAGGGACGGAGAGTGGGAACGTTGAAATGATTCTACCGACGACGATATAGGCGATCTGCTTGCTTGGGTGTCTTGCGATACAGGGGAAGTATTCAGCTGTTTTTTGCGCCGGTGGTTATGGTTATCAATGGACGTGGAAGTCGGAGCTTTTTTGGACACTGCAGAATAACGATAATTACATTAACTGCCTTCATCTTATATGTGAAAAGGTAAGCCGGCTGAAAAAAATGGTATTATTATTTGGGTATCAATGCTGTAACTAGGGAAGTATGGTCTAAATGCGCATGTGGATTGTTATTGATAGCAGTATTCTAACAGAAAAAAGGTTGAAAGAAACCATTGTCTTCATGTTCTCAAAGACGATATAAACGAATGTGCAATCGGATTTACATTATATCGTTGTATTAGTTACTAACCAGCAAAGATTTTTGCAGATACTTAAACGAAACCCATCTAAATATTTAACAAGAGAATGATATACGAATTAGTTGTCGAATACCTATATTGTTGTAAAATACTGCACTAAACTCTCTACAAATGTTCTTAATGTTATTGTAATTATTCTTTACCCTAACTTTGAAAGCTGTACATACGTGGGCTAGGCTGCTGTTCTTGTTGTGGTTTGGGATAGGGTATATTGTCGAGGATTGGCAGCTGAGTGTTACCCGGCAACGGCTGAGGTGGCGCAGGTCCTGGGAGGGGCTTTCTGGGTACAGGATACGGGTTGTTAGGGTCGTAAGTCGCAGGAACGCCTGGAGGTAAAGCTACTGGTATACCAGAGCCCGATACTGGTAAAGCTTCAATGGGAGCTAGATCATGTTTTAGAGCATCTTGCCTAGTCGAAGGTGACTGCGGGGTATCCGGTAGCAATTGACGGGGAGTAGGTTTGACCTCGGATGATGGGGGAGAGACAGACGAGACAGAGGTAACCGATGAAGCGGGGGAAGTGGCTGGAGGTGGTGGAAGCGGTGAACTTGAAACCGAATGAGTGCGAGAAGGTTTACTGCGACGGTTCGGAGGTACCAGCGCACTGCATGAAACGCAAACGGTTCCTATGTTATCACAGTCTAATGACTAGCTTTCATTCTACATTTATTATATAGTCTTTACTATTATTGAACATACCTACCTTCTGTATGTTAACATTCAGTTCACCAGCAAAGAAAAAAGAAGAACATAAATTAATTAGTCCTCTGTATATGTTTGCTGAATATGCTAAAAATGTATATGCTTAAATTTACTTAAAAGAATATCATCTAATAATATAGAAAGCGAAAACATAAATTACCCTTTCTTTTTAGACAACGTTTTTAAAGAACTAAATTCATTGTAACAAATTCAAAGGGATTACCTGTCTTGGTTTGGTAAAGTTAGTCTTTTCGGGGGTGAAGGTGGTACAGTGCTACGAATAGGTTGTGAAGGTACTGCTGAAGGATTCACCAATGGTTGCGTCGGCCGCGATCTGGAAGTGGGTAGATTTGGCTCATCGAGGGATGTGGCATGAGTACGAGGTCCGCGTCGCGTATGTGATTGACGGGAAATGTCCTGTTGCTGCTGAGCAATTTCTGGAAGCTGTCTCGGGAAAGGAACTGGTTGCGGCCTCGTTGGGGGGGCTACCGGCTTTGGTCGTGGAGAAGGGGCTATCGATTGAGGACGAGGAGGGGGCTCGACCGAAGGTCGAACGGGACGCCTTTCAGGGATGTTGTGCGCCGGTGGCTTGACTGGCCTTCGTGAAGTATCGTCGGCGTCTCCGAAGGGGAACGGAGCTACCACAGCGCCAATAGGACTTCCGGCTGGCAAAGGGGACTGAGGAGGTACTGCGACGGTGTTGATCGGCTGGCGAAGGTTTCGGAATGATTGACCCGGCGTTGGCAGCACTACAGTCTCATCGGAACCACTAATAGCTACAGGCATGAATAATTAACAACGAGATCAATACAGTAATGAGTCAATGAGACAGGCACAATGTCGTAACGTATAAAATAATTCTAGTGCAATAAAAAAAGTAGCAGTTGAAATCATCAGTAGTTATAAATAGGATGCCAGTAATATTAATTGAGAAGTCACGAATGAAATCATAACCTACGATTATAAGCTGGGGCTGGCTCATTTTTGAGGTGAAGTGGAGCCTGCAAGTTTGGCTGTGTGCGTTGCGGGATGATATCAACATCCGGACGTGCAGGTAGATTGGAAGAAAGCCGTCCTTCATCGAACCCTAGGGACAATGAATCAGGTCTTGTTTGTGGTGGACCAGAAGGTTGACCCCCGGAGAATGCTAAAGCAAATGGGGGAATAGGATTATTATGACTTGAAGGCTGCACATGCAATGCGGGTGGTGAAGGCGAATTCGGGATAGGACTAGAAAAATGTCGTCTAGGCGAAGCTGTCACAGAAGGCCGCGCAGGCCTTTGAGGCGTTACGGGAGATGAAAATAGAGATGGTCTTGGCGGTGTTACTGGAAACGAGAACTGAGGGGGTCTCTGAGGAGACGAAAGCGATGGGAAGTCCCCGACAGGAGTTTGAAACGGTGGAGAAGTTGGCGGAAAATAATCAGCGAAAGAATTCGGTTGAGAACGTAGCTGTGTTGTAGGATCGGGGAGGATTACAGTTGAGGAAGGAGGTCCATTGGGTTCTTGACGAAATGTAGGTAGAGGGAAGTTATCGGGCGCAAAACCGTCGATCTTTCGGGTCTGACGAGATGCTGTGAAGATGATCGATATGAATTATTATCATTCAAACTCTACTGCTATGAATGGCAGGTGTCCAACGGTTTTTTATACGGTGGAGCACAAATGAAGACGATGATCACTATGTAAGCAACGCTTTTGATGTCAATCGTGATGATATTATTGACAATGACTTTGTTTATGATGACTAAAGGACGCTTAAATACAACGCAACGAACCACTGTTAGTAAAGTTAAGTGTTTATTTCTTTAGGCATGCGACATGGGTATTTATATATATGTATATATAGATATATATATATATATATATATATCTAATACAAAAAGCATACATTTTTACACTGACAGATAGCCTTAATAGCATGTACAACAGAAGATATACATCAGAATATGGGTACACACAAGCAGGACGCACTGAGACCAGCTCAAATATCTGATTAAATATTGAAAAAACGCCTGCGGATGGACTCCCTGAGGTAATTAGATGAGGTGCATTATAGAATGTCTATAAATGACTCGGATTGATATCATGAGACGGGGACTTCACGATAAAGTTGGCTAGATGGCTGCTCTCTATTTGCAGCGTTCAGTCCGGTACACCAATTACTCTTCCGCCAGCATTTTTCGGTTTACGATAATAAAACGCTCCGTCGCACTTGGTAGATGATCTTCCTTAGATTTACTCAACGGCTCCTTGCGCTCTTTCTTTTCCGAAGCAGCAGCTCCGAGCAAATGTCGATGCCGACTTAATGCGTTGCTGAGCGGTGCCGAAAAGTCCTCAAATCCCTGAAAGCCGAACACCTGATCGTCAGGGTCTTCATCGAACGACTCGAATGTACTTGGTCCCTGCTGGCGTTCTCGTCGCTGCTCTTGGACAACCGTGGCCCTGTAGGGGTTATTCGTGTAGTAGTTATTATTAGTCAAATGATTGTTCGACACTTCTTCGTTAAAAATTCCACCTCGGATGACTTCGAAATTGCCACTGCCTAGTTGGTCGTGGTTTGCCTCCTGATGATCTCGCGTATCGGCACGAGGTTCCCGGGTCTGCTCATATCGAGGCTGTGCACGTTGTGTGGCAAAATGATCGACAGATTCTTCCTTATCGTCGTCCGTTGCACGGAAAATATTCGCTAAGCTGGCTATAGTTCTTAATGTATACGGAGTATAATAGCCATCGTCGTCCTCTGAATATCTCGGCATAAAGCCAGATGCCAACGGCTTTAAAGAGTCTTTTGTAGGCGAGCTTGTCTTTTCCGCATCGGCACTACGTCGTCGACGGTTCTTCGATTTGAAATCTACACTAGATGTGTCCGATCGTTTAGCTATCGGCGAGTGAGTTGCAATTATGCCGTGTCCTGGAGATGGATGAAAGCGAATTGACTCTAATGGAACACCAATACGGCTAGGCAGTCGCGGGTGGTTTAGAAGGATCTCTTGGTTTACTGATGTCTGTGTGAACGACTTTGGTTTTCTTTCAAAAAGGCCTCTTATACCCCAACCTCCTAGTAGATTCCATCTCGACATTGTTGACAACAAACCACTTGACCGTGTTGGATCACTTTCAGTGCCTGATGTAACGAAGAACCCGGAATGATCGGGAGGTTCGGTCTGCTGATTGTACGTTGGACTATATTGTTCCTGTTCGCCAACGTCCTGTAACACCACATTCTCGGTCGGTTGTAGATCGACGGGACCATCAATGCTTAGGCCGAATTGAGGAAGGTTTATCACTTCATTCGGCTCCTCCACTTTGATTTGAATCGCCTTCTGATGTCTCGCTTGTTGTAGTCTAAATGTGCCGTCATCTTGCGATAAAGCATACACAATGTCGAGCGGTTGGAATTTCTCATTTAATTGCTGCTCTTTTGGTCGGTCATCAAAGCCTCGATTTCTGCGCCTTCCGTACATTGCAAGTGGGGTAGGGCTACCGCGTGGTGGAGGGGCGCGTGTAGGGGAAGTTCTTCTCGGCGATCGAGTATCATAATGTCGTTTGTCCTCATGACGGAAGTCGCCTGGGTCTTGTTGTTCGCCACTGAAATCCTGGTGTCTTGAGGAACCAGCGTCGTGCTGACTGGGATAGAGATCGGCTGGTGGCGAGGGGGGGCCATGATAAGGTTCCGCAAGGGGCCTCGGTTTGAATCGTTTACTTGACCCTTCTGCAGAGTCTTCGCTCACTGCTGGGTTATAATTGGCATCGTAGCGATCCTCGTAACCTTTAGCTACACGTACGGGTCGGTACTCTTCAGAGTCGACATCATTGTCGTTTTTTCCATATGTCTTATACGGGGGTGCCACAGCGACCGGCCGATATAAGTCGTCGTTTGGTGGCGGATCAAACTTTGACCCACTTTTATCATATGGAATGAATACCGGACTGTTTCTTGTCGCTGCCGGCTTTTTGAGCGAGCGATTTTCGCGTGGGATTAGAGCATCCGGAACGCGAGACGCAATCTCGTCCTTGTCCCTCGCTGAGAACATGTAGGGGAAAAAAGAAACACAAGTGCAATATACTTAGCTTAAACTTCTACTAATAGGCATCCATTTAAATCTTGTTACCTTTTCGGTCGCCTTCAATGGCGCCGCCGCCACCATCGGCTGACGAGAGGAAAGGACTAAGATCACCCGGATAGCTTGTGGGAGGGCGGGGGGGTGATTGGCCGAACTGTGGGATGGCGTAGTTGCCTGGGCCAAACGGTGGCGACCCTGCGCTCGCCGCATTGCCCACCTCTGCATACTCTACTTGCCGGGGGTCTGTTGAACAGAGACAGAAAACAGAAAAGACAAGACAGACAGTGGGCTGGTTGTCAGTAGGGTTGAAAAATCGGGGTTAGTGTACCCATGGCAACGCTCGCAAAGCGAACGCCTGAGCAAAGAAGAGGTAGGGCAATCGGAATCAAAGTAGAAGAAAAGAAGCTTGGAATATGAAGAAAAAGATAAAAAGGCAGCAGAAGGTAGTTGTAATGGCAAGGATAGCGCGTACGATGGTAGGAGACCTGTTCTTAGCATATAGAAAGTCAGGCATCGCAAGCAAGGTAGGCAATACGGCGAGGTCAACTCTTCTCAGGAACGACCAAAGGGAATCGGACGCCAGAATTATATCAAAACCGATGAAGAACACTCCAGGAAATTTGAAATAATATATCAATAACTACGTTGGTGTCATACTTAGTAGTGATCATTTGTCCAATCTGTTCTTATTAACTTACACCAAGGGTTTTATTTTGCTTCAGTATATCAGGTCATATCAAGTTGTCATGCGGTAGAAATTTACCACTCCTTAGAGAAAAACTGTTTTTCAATGCTTGTCATGTGTGCATGACCAGTTTTTTTTCTTTATTAGTAAATTACATTTCTTCAAACATTTTTCTTAACGTTAATCCTTTCTTTAACGTGCAACTAGCAAATCAGCCTTACCTTTAAACAAGCCGACATTGCTGGTAAGTGGGGTTTCGCTAAATGCTCAATCGTTGCATGCAATATTCTTGTGATATGTTACATACAGTCTAAGATCAAATAATTTCTGCATGATATACATCGCAAAACCAGTTCACTTTGTTTTCTAGGTAAGTAGACACCTACGAATGTTTGCTGACTCTGGGATAGATACTCGAAATTCAAATGCACTCAAAAATAAGAGCCTAATATTAGGTCCGCAGTGCATTTTAGGTAATACAGAGCACCTTAGGCTGACAATAACCAAAAACGTATTCCGAGGCATTGAAGATATCCTAGCCATAACTGCACATCGAGACAACTGGAAGCCTGCCAAGTTGCTACGTTTGCCATTGTAGTAGGTTTTTTTTTGTTTAATTATCGGCTACCACTATTGCAGTTCTTAAAAGGGTAGCAGCGCGTAAAGAATTAATGTGATTTAAGGATATCTTCAAATCGCCTTCGTTATTCGCGCATAAACTGGGTGACGTAAAATATTGGGTATACCATCCAGAAATCGAACTCACGTCCTAAGTAAAATGCTTATATAACATTAGTAAAATAACGACACAATTGCCCTTCCACTGATATTGTCTAACGAGGTCTTGCAGTCTACTCTGATAAGAAAAACAGGTAGGTTAAATATCTAGCTAAGCGTCAACAGGTAAAGGCTTGAAAAAAACGGAATCCTGCTTGCAGAAACAGGACCCCTGAAATAGGAACCCTGTCCGATGTCACTGCAGACAAGACGGAACTACAAGAACCTCAACGATACGACCGACGCTGACAATTGGATCGCCGGTCTCTATTTCGACTAGATTACATGCATACGATCGAAGCCATCTTAGCTAGGATTTCAATCCAAATTATGGAACTTACCACTTGTGATTGGCTTGTGATTGACGTAGCTGGTTTCTAAGAGAAACAGCTACGTAACGGACCAACCCTGACTGCGGCAGATGTTATGAAATAAGATTTGCTACTTCGATTACCTGTACGCACTCTCATTTCCTGTTGACTAGATACATTAGAGCAATCTACTGCGATCAAAAACAACGCTACAAAACAAATATATACATATATCTTTTTCTCTCGATTACAAGGAATAGAACTATTGCTGTCATATATGCGTCTGTAAAGCATGCTACACTGCACAAACGCGCAATTATTGTAGCAAAAAACCAACAAAGACAACGGTGGCACGAAGACTTGATTGAAAATTAATGGGATTTTATTTTGCTGAAATAATAGACATTGCTATGTAGCATCTACCAGGGCATAGTGAAATTCTTGGTGTTGATGTCTATATTAGTTCCAGCATAGCGATATAAACACACAAGAGCGCACCATTACCACCATTAAATCGTAAAGCCAGCTGAGCCAAGCTGGGGCAGTCAGTCAACACGTTGTTTTTAGCTTGTTTTTGTCATTGTTAGCTGACATAATTGTTTTGGTTGCCTCCATCTCTTGCTGCTATTATATAATCCACATAGGTACGAAGTGGGTGGTAAAAGGTAATAATAGCCGCATTGTGACATATGAAATTCCTATTTTAACTCAGAACATCTTTTATTTGATCTCTTTGCATTACAATCTAATATACTTTTATATATGTAAATCTATAAATTAGATTTGTATTGAAAGTCGCATTTTTTTGTATTGCAGTATGAAAGTATTGCAAACCATCACACCACGTTTAAATAAGAAGTTATACGAGCTTTTCCTGCGCATATCGGAAAATGAATGTTATTAGTAGCAATGAGAGTCAGTATACTGTATTAAAACTACTCATCGTAGATAGTATTCTGGACGTTTGCTTACCAACTGCTCGATAAAACACTTCGCATGTCAGGACTGCCGCAGCGTCTGTTGATTTTAAGGTCTTGCGGCACGTATACGTAGTATAAAGCAACCAGCTAAAGGGAAACTGCAGCTCATGCAGGTACATTTCAATGCATTATACGCGTATATATTACCCTTGTATGAAGCATTTCCAAGAATGGCGACAGATCATATTCAATGCCTATTCCCATGAAAAGATAAGGCGAGAGAAGCTGCCAGCTGCGGTGTTTAAGTTATCAAGGAATCACCTTGACATCATCTTGCTTTCATTGTCCTGTCACTGTTGCTATTATTTCCACTAACCATACAATTACTTCTATTGCTAGCACTATTTCTGCTTAAATGAACAACGATCGATAGCGTCGACAGCGATGCTGTTAGATACATGTTTTGCTGATTAGGACAAGACTAATCGACGCTATTTACTGCCCCCGATCCAGCTACGTCGAACCAACAACCTTCCTTCTATATTTTTCAGTGTCTGCGCTGTCTTTCTGATCATCAGTAAACCCGTGTCCGCTAGCATCTCTGTCAGCATGGGCGACTCACCAGTTAACGCCCATCGGCAGGGTATCTACCACTGACTTGTTCAGCAATAGTGCTAAATTTTACTTGGTCCATTTGACGTTACAGTACGAGACGACATCACCACTAACGGTTTAAGCTCCGCGAAAACAACAACGACGGCAATAACAAGAAGCACAGCGTCAATTGGTCGATAGATCGATTGGCAATAGCGCAAACGCTAGACAACAACCAACGCTACAATAAATTAGAACGATTAACAGTTCTTCTCAAGAATATCGCCAGCCAGATCGCTAGCCAACAATCCTCCTGCCACCATTCATTCCCCCCCCCCCCTACCTACTGGTAGCAAGAGGTCCTGCTGACTAGTTTTCGGAGCAGCAAACGACAACTCCATTAGCCACGGCATCGGCATAAGCAGCAGTAACCGCGTCGATGATAACAGACGCCACAGGACGTTCAAACAATCCCGATACCGTATTTTAATACATAATAACATCACCAAAGGCGACATGAAGCATTGCTATAGCAATGACAAAAGCGCTAGCTGCGGGAGAGTATTCATAGCATCGAACGAAATAATGAAATTATTCCCAGCATACCATCTTTATTCGCGATTCGTTTGCAGCAGGAGGTGGAGGATGGATGGGGAAGGGGCACGTGTGAGTATCACAGCCTATATCTGGGCATTGATCAAGATGGTGGTAATGATAGATATAGTTAGTATGTTGAGCGTGACCTTGGGCGCTAGCGTTTCTTCCTTGCGTGCTATTTCTATATTACAGTAACGGTCATTTACCCCATCTACCCACGCCGTGTCCAGTCCAGAGTTGTCAATCCTGTCAAAAATGGACACAATCCATGTGTGTATCTGTGATTTGAGTGTATACATGGCTGTACTTACGCTTTACTCAGTGCCAACACGTGATTTGCTGTTCACTTCCTTCTGGTATTGCAGACGAAGCCGAAGGCGGTATGGCCTGCGGTTAGAAAGAAAACCCCGACTCTTGTCCCTGTGAATGCTGTATGTTTTCTATCAACATAGCGCAGATTTACTAAAAAATAGAGAAAATTAGGAATTGAGTCTGTTAGGGTACTCATTAGAACACAATGTCATTTAGACGGTTGACTAAATCGCTGGCCGCTGGCCGCTGGTCGCTGGTTGTTGATTGGAGCTATTGCTGCGATTTGTATGCCCCATTAGTACAAAACGTGGTCCTTCTACCTGTACGTATAGGACTTAATCTTGAAATATTGCAACTCTCAGACTCATGTCCCTAAATATATTAAACGTAAAAAGGTTTTCTCAGGTGACACTTTGACATAGGACATCCATGCAATGGGTAAGTTCACGTCTACTGCGTTCATTCGAGACAATTTCATGTGTATTTGTCATTCTCCAGTCATTTTCCAGAAAAAGTAATAAAGAGAGACCTTGGCTAAAATCCAGCCAGTTTAATCTTGATGTATTATTGCCATTACTATGATTAAAGGTGTTTTAGAACAATTTCTTATGTTAACCTATTACAGACCTCTGCTTTTTAGCCACCACGGTCTGGTCATCGTAAACAGTGGTTAAAACCCTAGTATATCTCAAATGTAAAGTTTAGGCCCTCTCGGCCCTGTTGAACCCTTATTCTATATATA